TCAGAGACACTCATGATGCTCATGCTGCTCATAGCAATGTCTGCAAAGTAATAACAAGACCTTTACATTGCACTGATCACAGTTTCAGAATATTAAACATCTTGCAAATCAAGCAGAAATTCAGCTTGGTTGGTGGCTGTCCAACCTGGTAGCAAGTGTCTTGTTTTTAAATACTCCAGCTTGTGGTGTCTGTAAATTGGCCAACAGGCTAACTCACCAAAACCCTAGATTATTGTCTTTGTCGGGTAGTGTAGGACAATAGCTAAACATTTTTTCAGGTGCTGTTGTACCATATCCCAGCTATTGCTTTAAGGGATTCAGTCAAGTTATGGCCATTTAACTAATTTCAAGAGGTATGCTGTAAATAGAATGAGTGTCTTGAATACCTTCAAGTTTATTTCACTCTGAAAACAGGAAATAAAACATTCTTATCAATGGCAAAGGTCCTTTCCCTCTGAGATTTTCCAGCACAGGAGATACCAGCTGATTGTTCATTATAAGCATAATTTATCCTGAGAGAAGAACAGATTTTCATTTAAAAGGGATCCAAGTAAAAATCTAGTGTCTATAGGGGATGAAATTTAATTTACAGCCCTGAATCCCTTTCCATCGGGTTTTTTCGAAGCTCGTTACAGGAAACAGAGAGGCTATTCTGTGTCATTACTGGAATAAAAATATTCAGTCTGCCATTGAATAAGAGGCTGCTAGTCAATGTAATGACACTGTGCATATCAGGAACTGTGCATTGTAGCAATCACCTGCCATAAATTACACACCTGGTGTTCATTGTTCAGTGCATATGGATTCAAAGATCAAATTTTAGTGTAAAGCAGCATCCAGTGATAAGGGTTCAGTGTTGGAGAAGAATGATTCCTGAATTCGTGACTAGCAAGGTGAGTGATTATACTGTGTATTATAGTAGATGGGAATCATTATTGTTAGCAGCCTGGATAGTAACTCCGTCTCATTATTTCAGTGAATCCATGTGGCATATGATGAAGCCATTGTACGAATACTCTAACTTCTAATGGCTACAATTGGATGTGACATATTGCTGTTAGAACAGGTCAGTATCATGAAACTGTGTGCTATTCTTAATACATGTTGACAACTTCTTCCACTGTGCCTTGTATTTCTTTAGTGCCTTTCATCCAAGGACCCTGCAAACAAGAATTAAGTAATTATCCTTCGCAACACCCTTATGAGTTACAACAGGTCTGATCAGATCTGCTTTCTCTATGGATACACTGCTGCACAGTAAAATTAACAGGCAAATCCATCCTCCTCTTCCATAGCTGCAGAAGGCCCATGTGTAGCTGAACCAGGAAGGTGACTGTGGAATGTGCAGTACAGACCCTCCTCCATATGCTAACACAGGGAGGGAGGAGGTGAGACATGGGGCTAACCAACAATTGCTCCTTCTGTCTCTCTACACTGGGGGAAGCATAGGTGCTGGAACTAGGGATGCTGGGGGTACTGCCGCACTCTCTGGCTTGAAGTGGTTTCCATCACATATAGGGTTTACAGCTTGATTCAATGGCTCTCAGCACCCCCACTATACACATTGTTCCAGCACCCCTGGGGAAGGGAAAGAGGATTTTAAATGCTATACAGCGGCTTCAGTCTTTTGGTTGATGTAGACATTGCAGAGCAATGCTATGACCTCTGGGGGGAGCTAACACAACATCATATGCTGAATTCTCAGAACTGCAGGGAGATGTTTAGTTGTTAGAAAACCAATATTGTTTTAATCCAGATTAACAAAAAATAGAATGAAAACATTTCTCTTCATATTTCATACTGTTATCATATAAATGTGGGTCCTAAAACCAGTTGACTGTCTCCTTTGAAGATGAACTCACACTATATAAACTGAAGATGTTGCTTTCTGCAAACACTATAGTGAGAGCCCTGCGTGGATACAAAATTTGTATCCACATCTGATCCACAATCCGCAAACATTGTCTGCGGGTACAAAGCAGATATCTGCGGAGTTTCAGGGCTCTAGATCGTAGGTGCTGGAACTAGGGGTGCTGGAGGTGCTGCTGCACCCCCTGGCTTGAAGTGGTTTCCATTATATACATGGTTTACAATTTGGTTCAATGGCTCTCAGCATCCCCACTATAAAAATTGTTCCAGCTCCCCTGCTCTAGATATAAAATTTGGATCAGCATTCTTCCGCAATCCGCAAACATGGTCCATGGATATCCACATCACTAAAGATCACTCTCGATCTGGTAAAATGAAGCACTGGTATTAGGTCTTCAACGTAAACACTTTGAGCTTCCCTAAGGAGTTGTGAGGTTTGAATTTAAAGATGAAATGCAAAAAGGAACAAAATACGCTTGTGCTTTGCTTAGCTTATGATGCATAAATGAGGTCTGTAAATTGTTTGTTTGTTTCTTGGGGGGGGGATTGTTTGTTTGTTTTGTTGTTTTTTCCAACAACAAAGCAGGGGAGAACATGGAGTTGTCTTCGTCTTTCCATTTGAAATCCAGGTCTCGTTTAATCAAGAACTCTATAGTGACTGGAGAACTAGTGACAATGTGACATCCCAAAAGTCCAGGAAAAGTTGAGCAGCAAGGGACTTCTGATTTTGTTGTTGGATTGTCATACTGATGCCAATCACTAAAACTAAGCTTAGAAATCAGAACATAAACAGAAAAAATACTTTTAAAAAATGCCCTTTCCCCATCTTCTTCATGTAGCATAAATAAAGCTAGAAGGGGGAAATTCCAATATAAAGAAAAAAATCCTTTCCAGGCTACCTTTAATTCTTTCAGCTACAGGAAATTCCACTCTGCTCCACAAGGTGGAAACCTTCATTACAGTTTGCCCAAATAAAATAATATCCGAGTCCATAGACTTGTAAAACTTTGTTTTAGTTTAAATTAAAATACTGAAAGAAATGACTAGCCAAAGTAAATAACGTGGCATTTAATAGACTTACGCATTTTAATACATCTATTCCAGGTCCAAAATGATCCTTTCTACAGATGCTGGCGTGAAGAAGCAATTGTATCATGCAAAAAGTAGTGTAAATAATAAAAAACAGGCTGAGCAGTGAAATTAGATCAGATTCTGTTAAATCTTCTCTTCCTGTTAAACCAGATACTCCTCAAAGCACCAGTGCAGAAGCTCAGCACTTAAAAATCCCTTATTTTTATTTGATCTGTTTATAAAGGCCCTGATCCAGCAATGAGCCCAATGTGGGCACAAGGGTGACTTTACACGAGTGGGACAGCATCCAGAGAGGATCTGGCCACAGTGATTTCATTGCAAGAGTGAGGTTAAAGTCCATAACTTTTTGTGTCCTTTTATGTAATTTTTACATAAATTGTTCCACTATTCTTTTTTCTTGAAGAACCAATAAATTCCCATAGCCCAGTATTTATGAGTGATAACAACCCAGTATGTGAATTCCTGCACTCCTCAGCTAATTTACCTCCCCAAAAAAGCTGTGGATACAGCCCACTGGGCATAAGCAACTCACCAATAACAAACCAGTGTGTGCACAGGATTGAGGGGAAAAGGAAATCCTGTAAGATAACAAATGTCAGTGTTATGATAAGTGATGGGTTAAGCAATGGGTTTAATTATATAGGAATAGCTTGACTGACTAAACTGCAACAGATGGATTTAAGTGATGCACAACCTAATACAACTTTACTGTCATGCAGATTTTCCTGCTAGAGAAAATTTAGGCTGACTTGAATTTCATCCCATTAGTCTTGGTGGTTTTCCCCAATAAATCCTCTTCATCCTTAGCATTTATATTCTTCAAATAATGGCACTGGGCAAACATTTGACAGTTTCTAAAAGCCACGCCCCCAGTTCATAGAGAGATCCGGGCAAGGAATAAAATTGGCAGAAAAAGAAAACACTGATCCACAGGTGATATCTGCATTGATCTGTGGGCGCCGGCACTGAAAATGCGGGTTTCTGAGGGGAGAAGAGATGGGTGATAGATACCACAGACAGGGAAATACAGGATCATACAAGATGATCCGTGGGAGTGTAAACCTCTGGTACCGACAGAGCCTCAATGAGTTCATTAGTGCTGGGGGTTCTGCCTGAGCAGATTAATCTGCAGGATCAGACAAAACAAAGGATCTGCATGAACTCGACAGAATTTGCCATGTGCCTACCATGGTTTCTGCTTGCGCATGGTATCCCTTTTCTGCCTTTGTTCTTTAGAGTGTGTGGCTGGGGAGAGGCAACTGTACCGCCCTGTGTTTGGAGAGCGCCTAGCGCTAAATGTAATCTGAGCAATAAATGCCATTAATAAATAAAGGGCGATAACGAGCGGGAACTGAGGGAGTGTGTTTAGAAGGCAGGAGCGGGACCAGAACTGCACAACGGATACAGTAACATCCATCGGGTATAAAATAGTGATTTAATCAAACCACTGGCATCCCCTCCACACTGTTACCAACGTGCGTTAAGGGATGAAGTGCCAAGAACTGGACCTGAAGCAAAATCCCGCATCTATCCAGCTGCCCCTGAACGTGGCGGGATTTTGCATTTTGCAAGTGCCCCCACCCCCATCTATCCCGTAAACTAAATCAGATCCGCTGCCCTACCCCGCCCCCCAGCCTTTGGGGCATCTGAAATTTGGGCCTGAATTTAGTAGCTTGACCCCCTCTCTCTCCTGTGCCCAAAGGTGCAGCATCCTTGGTGCTTCCCGAGGACGGAAGGGGTGTGGGGATGACGGTATTGGTGATCTGCAGAGAGGTGCCGGTCTCCTCCCGTCACAGCGGTAGATGCTACCGCTACCAGTGGCCGCGGTGGCTCAGCGCTCTGTGTGGCTGGCCGGGATCCCCTCCTTCCCTGGTGCCCCCTGCGGGCAACTCCACCCCAAGCGTGGGCCCACCGCGCTCAGGCATCGCCGCTTTAAGCGGAGGACCATGCTGGGCGCGGGGGAGGGTCTCCGCCCCCTCCCCCCGCTTCCCCACGTGGTCTCGGTCGGTGCCTGTGAATTTCAATCGCTGGAGGGTAGCTCTTGGTGCAGACACCGGGCGAAGCTGCCGGCGGAACGGCCGGTCCCGGAGCTGAGATCCCGACACCCCCTAGCCGGCCCCGAGGCTACCACCTCCGCCCGCCCAGCAGCAGCGTCTCAGCCGGGGGCTGGAGGGTCCCGGCGCCCCGCGCGGCCATGAATGAGCGTCGCTCGGAGGCGGGGAGCGGCGGGGCTGCACCGCCGCCAGGTCCCGGAGCAGCGGAGTGAAGCGGCGGCGGCGGGAGGATGAAGCGGCCGGGCCGGGCCGGGCTGGGCTCCCTGGCCGCGGTCTGGCTCCTGGTGCTGGGCTCGCTGCTGGGGCTCTGGACCGGCTTGCAGCGGGAGCAGGAGCAGACGGCGCAGCAGGAGCGGCGCTTCCCCGCGGGGACAGCCGGCCGGAGGCTGCCCCAGGAACAGCGGGGCTGGGAGCGCGGCAGCACCGGAGCTTCGGCTCCCGACCGCCGCTCGACAGGGCAGGGCGAGTCCCGCGCCGCCCAGAAAACTTTCCGAGCGCTGCTCACGCTGCCGGCCGCCGGGGACAGGGGCGAGCCCCTGGAGGGGCCGGAGCAGCCCGCGGAGCCCGGACAGAGCTCGCAGCCGGAGCCCCGGCAGAGGCAGAACTTGGAGCCTGGTTCCAGGGAGCGGCTGGCCCAGGAGGCTCCCGCGGACCCCGCCTCCCCCGTGCAAGGGGGTATCTTCTGGAGCCGAGCGCTGGAGCAGCAGGTGCCCCCGGGCTTCGACCCCGAGCAGACGGCCTTGTGGTTGGAGACTGCCCGGGCGGCTCGCGTCGCCTCCCTGGAGCGGGGCGGGTGCGGCCGCAGCTCCAACCGCCTGGCTCGGCTGTCCGACGGGAGTCGCGCCTGCGTCCGCTATGGCATCAACCCGGAGCAGATCCAGGGCGAGGCGCTCTCCTACCGGCTGGCCGAGCTGCTGGGCATCCAGCAGCGCCTGCCGCCCATGACCCTGGCCCTGGTGGAAGCCCGCGGCAGGCAGTGGGGGCAGGTGCGGGACGAGCTGCGGGGCTCGCACTGGACCGAGGGGGCGGTGGTCAGCCTCACCCAGTGGGTGGACAACTTGACCGACGTGGTGGCCCCCGCTCCCTGGAGATCGGAGGCGGGGTCGGGCAGGAGACTGCAGCCTCTGGCGGCTGGGGAGCTGGGCGGCCTCACCCAGTCCCAACTGGTGGAGCTGGTGCAGTGGACCGACCTGATCCTCTTTGACTATCTGACGGCCAACTTTGACCGGCTGGTCAGCAACCTCTTCAGCCTGCAGTGGGACCCCAGGGTGATGCACCGGGCCACCAGCAACCTACACAGGGCACCCAACGGGGGCCTCGTCTTCATAGACAACGAGGCGGGCCTGGTACACGGCTACAGGCTCCTCTCCATGTGGGACAAGTACAACGAGCCCTTGCTCCGCTCCGTGTGCATCTTCCGGGAGGCCACTGCCCAGCGGGTGCGGGACCTGCACCGCCTGCAGAACGCAGCCTCGGAGCTGCTGAGACTCTACCGGACTCACGAACCCCTCTCCGGCCGGCTCGGCTTCCTGTCCGAGCAGCAGGCGCAGCTGCTGCAGGGCAGGATAGACTTTGTCCACAAGCACATTTTGCACTGCAAAGCCATGGCCACTTCACTGTGATCAGTTTGTCTGTACTGTCCTGTATTTATGTAACCCGAGGGTGAGGAGTGGGTTTACCCCACTAACCTTTTTGCAGTTGTAACATGTTCTGGGACTCTCTAAATAGGAGACTAAAATCATTCATTCAGGAACCAGTTTCCTAGTGGGAAGGAGGAGTAGGCTAGTGGGTTGAGTACAGGACTGGGACCTCCTGATAGTGGTGTAAAGGGCCCAGTTTCCTCATTTCTGGGTGCTGGAGCCTTTTTAATGGTCCATTTAGTTGAGTGCTTAAAAGACTAGTCCTGTGAGTCCCCTCCACTCTTTTTGACCTCATGGGGAGTCGAATGTACTCAGCTACCTAGGAGAGTCACTGGAGTAGGATTGGGCCCTCTACATGGCTTTAGATGCCTCAATTTAATTTGAATATTCTTTGCCCCATGAATTACTGTTGTTGGCCTCTGTGAAGGGACCCTAAAACATCTGCTTCTGCTCACTGCATCTGTGAAGTGTGGATAATAATACTTACCTGCCTGCCTGGCAGGGCTTTTGTGAGGAGTAATTAGTTAATGTTTCTAAAGCGTTCTGAAGATGAAAACTGCTATCAGTATTATTATATCTCTTTGTATTAGTTCCACACTGGGTCTCTTTCCAGAGTTTAAAAAAAATCATGCCTCTTAAGTATTTCCCTTAACTCACTCAGTACAACTGCCCACTTAAAAGACAGTGTACAAAAACTATTGTCCTTAACTGGACTGGGATCAACTACCTTTCTTCTAATGGAGGCAGGCAGGTACACTTATGTATTTTGTTGTTGTGATCATTTATTTAAAAAAAAATTGACATTCATAGACTAAGAACTGATTGCACAGAACAGGAGCCCTTGACTAGCAAAACTGCCCCATCCATGGAGGCTCTTTTCCTATTGATGTCTCTATCCAGAATGGATCTATTAACCGTTTGTTAATCTTGTCAATGAAAAGTATATAGAGAGTCGATATTCCAGTGTTTGTCATCTTTGTTGTTGGAAGCATCTGGTTAATCTGATTCAGGTTATAAGTGTCTGTTATTTCTAATCACTGTCATTTGGTTTGAATGCTAAAATAACTGACTAATGGGTAAAAAGAAATCATCCCAGGGTTTTAAATATTGTTATTGTACTAAGATTTTGGACACATTAGTCAAATTGGGGGGGAAATCAGTTTCATGCACTTTACTTTGACTTTTTATTTTTTATAAGAAGACTTTTATTTTACAAAGTCTGCCTTTTCTGTACATTATATATGTTCATAAGTTCTTCTGTAACATACAAAAGAAACTGATATTTCAGTAAAAGGGTGTTAATGTTTTACCTCTTTGTTCCAAATACTTAGTTTGAATTTAAAAAGAACACTTACTCTTCAGTTTTTTTCCAAAGAGAAATAGAGCCTGATTCACTAGCACTACTCCTGATTTATACTAGGTTAAGAAAGAGAAGAATCAGGCCTTCCAACTTTCCTTTTTCTTCCTTTCCTAAAACCAATTTACTTATTTTAGTGCAAGTTGGTATGTGAACATTCTTATTTTGGAATAACAGTTCCTGTTACCGGCCTTAGTTAAATAGACTTGAGTGACTTTTATTCTGAAATGTGTTCACCCCCACTGTTCCTCTGAAATAACTAAATCAGTTTCTTGACATTAACTTGCTTAAGTCAGTGCAAGTATGGTGTAGACAACCTCATCATATGTTCAGATAGTGCGCCAACCTGTTACTGCAAGCTCAAGCGCTGCTATAACAAAAGCATCCCTTGTGGTGTCAGTCTGTTATCAATAGGTGGTACTTTATGCTAGCTTTCTATCCTTTGTGTTTTGACTTTATTCATCCTGTATTCACAATTAGGGACTAACTCCAATCACAGCACCGGAAAGCTTGTCCAACAAACAATATAATTTAGAAAATTTCCATTGCATTGAGTGTCATAAGTTTCTTGGGATTGAGTGTACAAACTAAAAGAAAAATTATACAACTGTCAGTTCGGTTTTTTTGTTTGTTTTTACCAAAAAAACCAACTTGTAACAGCATTACTGATACAATAATAGACCGTCAAGACGCAAAGTAAAGGCCAAAGTTGGGGTAGGGAATAAGACAAATTAAACCTTCTCTTTAAACCCCAGATACAAACTATGATGAGATCAAATAGGAAAACAACCTCTTCCACATCTGGACAGGCATATCTTTGTTGATTCAATGCTACAGTGTGCTGAATGGAAGACAGATAAGTAGGTGCTTTCACTGTTATTTGGAGCATTACATTTCCCATGAATTCAATGAGTACTGCATATGTGCACATTTATACTAGGAGACGGTCTCTCATATCTGTTAATAATTTATGCAGGCTAACCCCCACAGCTGAACTGTTTTCTTTGACAGTTTATTCTTTTAATTTTTGTAAGGGCAAGAAAACAGTTTTACAAACACATGAATAAACTTGGTACAGTTACAATGTGTAGTGCTCTTTACCAAGTATATTTTTTTAAATCTTACAGCTGCCCCAACAGCAGCTTCCACTCAACTGCTTTAACTGACAAGGCTCTTTATTTAACTTTTATTTATAGCTCTCAGCATTTATCTCGATACAATGCACAAAATCCCATGTGGTGTCCCTTTTCTATTTACATGACAATGTACAATTTAACTGTGTAATTCTTAATTCTTCTTTAGCGCTGTTTGTCAGCATTACTTTGTAGCTCACTCAGATGCAACGTTTCAGTTGTGTTCACCTAATGAAAATACGTCTAAATAATAAACCACTGTCATAAATTTTAAACCACAGTGAAGAGCAAACTGCTGTGCCACAAACATCTAAGGTTTCATTTCTGTTTAGTAAGTATTTCTGTAAGTATCAGCACAACTGCAGTTTTGACTGCTAATGGGCAATATATCTTCTTTGCAACGTCTTTAGAACCAGACCCTAGATAATTACACCTTTCAAGAAGAAACATGATTTTCTATTTGATGATTGGTAACTATCTTAAGTTATATATAGGTTGCATGTTAGAAGATGGGGATAGTTATAGGCTAATGATGCTAGAGATAAATCTGCAAGCAACTGGAAGAAATAAGCTTATTCAATGAGGATATAGAAAACCAGCTTGATTGGATTATGACACTTTACTGTGTGCTTTATGTGCTTCAGGAAAATACTAAGAGCCTCAATGCATTTTATTTGTCTGAAGTAAGATCATCTGTCTCTGTGCTAGAAAAAGCTTTGAATTAGCATCAATTTAAGGAAGATTAAGGCTATGTTTAACTCTTCTGTTCAGTTTCTTTAAGGCAGAATAATTACTTGTAAATTCTTGGTCTGCTACATTCTTTGCATTCCTTCTCAACTTTATATGCTATCTGATGTCTGACTGTCTCTAACCAGAACAAAGAGGTGAACAACTTTTAAACTTTTTTGTGCCCAATTCTCTTCTAATTTACACCAGTTTAGCTCCTTTTTCCCCCATGGAGTTACTCCTGATTTTCACCAGGGAGAGCATTGACTCAGGCCCTTCCCGTTTTTGGTGTACAATGACCAGAAGACTCAACAACCAAGGAGTTTGAAATAATTTCTATGTGTAGCTAAATAATTATATGCCATTGGGGTTTTTTATTCTGATCATACACTGCTGTAGCTTAGAAATAATTTAACTGGATGTCAAAGGAATCACACTTTTGTGTAAATGAGTTTAGAATAAGGCCTGGGGATTTTAGGCCTTAGTTCAGCAAAACACTTAAGCATGTACTTAACTTTAAGCATTTAGCAGTCCCATTGAAGTCAAGGTAACCACTTGCATGCTTATGGGCTTATTTGGTTTGCTGCACTTGGTCCTTAATTAATTGTCAATTGTTACATATAACTGATAGGAAAAGGTAGTTTGAAAATGGCTGTAGATTTCAGAATGTGAAACACACCTCCTTTAATCCCTTAACCAGACAGGAGGGTTCTGAGATATCTTAAGAATTCCTTCCCCCAAAGTCTCCTCTAACTGGAGTCTAAGAGCATGATTCTCCTGTCATATACAGTTTAACTCCATCAACATAAATGGAGTTACCCTCAATTTACACCAGTGTGAGTGAAGAATCCGGTCCTAGATTCTTTTCAGGCAGAGATGGGTTTACTCATGGACTTTAGGGTGAGGGTATTACAGCCAGACTTGTAAGGGAAAGTGAGTCATCACTGAGCCCTCGCAGTGCAGTGAGCATCAGAATCTCATTGAATTTAATAGGCTGCCCACTGAGTGAGCAAAGCCAGACTGAGATTAGGTGGATAAATGTGCCTGCCACCTCTACAGTATATCCCTGGCACAGGAGCTGGCAGAAATGGGCACAGCTCCTTTGTTTAAGGTCAGGTCATCCCATTTGAAGATCATGCCAGTAATTTAGGCCCAGTGCTAAACACAGAGTTATGTTTTGATTCAGTAGGTTACATCACACCCTTAAGACCACTAGCATAGTTTTGTGGTTTTTCTTTTGAGGTTTTTTTTTTTTATGATAATAGTATTTAGAATTTGCTCACTGCCATGCTAGGTGGTCTAGGACTAGCTTGCATGTGAGATCATATTAAGACTTAATCCGATCTTGTATGTTATTCCTGCTTTGCAACCACAGCATAAAATTTAACTGCTCCTTTAGAGCCATGCACTCTGGATTGAATGCTGTGAAGCTCTGGCAATAATAGCATAGACTTTATAATAAACAGCTCCTGCTGGGGTCTGAATGACACTTAGGATTGGTAATGACCCATAAAACCTTTTTTCCTTGAGGTCACTAGTTTTAATGCAGCTCAGGGCTGTAACAACTAAGGTTTTGTCTATGTTGGGGATTTGTCCTGGTTACAGCCATCAACGGCCAGCCACTGATGTAGCTGCACTGGTAGAAATCCCTATTGTAGACAGGCAAAGCAATTTGTACTGGTGCAGCTTACCCTGGTTACAGGATGGGGTAAATTGTACCAATCTGAAGCACAGCACAGCATATAGCAGTTTTCTTAGTCTATGCTAGGGTTTTGCCTCAGTGCAGCTATCCCAGTGGCTGAAATCCCAGTGTAGACAAAGCCTCAAAAGCTGTGACCTTGTGAATGGCCTTGTTGAAAGGAATTAGTGGTCTCGATTTGGTTCCCAGCGGAGAGGTGTCCCCATCACAAAAACTACTGCTGCCAGTTGGAAACCGTGTGGCACTCTCAGCAGAGAGGGCAAGGAGTGAATGGATGATTGAATCTGACCTCTCCCTCCCACGCTGTAAAGGGTTACAAATATTTGGTCATTTCATTTTGGAGCATTTCACAACCCAGAAATCCCATTTTTCAGGAAACTTTCAAATGGGGCAACACCGGAATTCAACCTTTTGCATGTTTTGCTATCAAAATTGATTTGTATTTTTCATTTGGCCAATAGATCTACATTGGAGGGGAATTTGGCCAATAGATCTACATTGGAGGGGAAAAATTTTCATTTTTTGTTGTTGTTGAGCAAAACATTTGGGCCACAGTGAATACGTGAAACGAAATGCAGACAACCAGGCACATCTCTACTCCCTTTCTCTCCTGAAGTTGGCCTCTCCATGTCAGAATTGAGACAGGTTGGCAGAGCACAGTGTGAAAGCTTGCACTGCTGCTGCTCATGCTGCAGATAAATAGAGAACTTCCATCTTGAGAGCTGCTAGTGTTTAACTGCTGTTAAATTATCACACACAAAATAGGCCATTGTCATCAGAAGCTATTAGAACTCTACAAATTTCAGCTCTCTTTACCACTTAACTGTCTAGAAATGGGCTAAATATATCTAGCATACCTTTTATATTTTGGCAAAAAGAATGTTCTGCTGCTGGTCTCCACTAGGTGCAAGATAGAGGAGAGAGCTTTTTAGAAGATGTCTTACTGCTTAGTATTCTGCCTGTTACACTGTGAGCAGGGAACATTGCCTAGTGCTGAGAGCATGGGTCTGGGACTCGGGAGATCCAGAATGCTAAACCCCAGCTTTGTTTCAGACTTCCTATGTGACCTATTCTAGTTAGGTTTTTATACTGTGCCTCTCAGTGTAGTATCTGACCGTGTGCATGTCACTTAACCTCTCTCTGCCACAGTTTTCCTATCTGTAAAATGAGGGTTGTCATACTAAGATGTTGTGAGAATTAATTCATTAACATTTCCAAAGCACTTAGAGACCCTCAAATAGAAGGTGCTATGGAAAGACAAAGCATTATTATCAATTGAATAATGCATTTTCACTTTAGATTTTTAGAAGCATTCCCCAAAGTGACAAACCTCTCCATCCAGATCCAATGAAATAATCTCATTGTCACAACAGACAGTATTCTGATCAAGCTGTGCCCCAGAATGGAGTCTGCTCTTCTGCAATGTGTAGCACTTCAGTGGGGCAGGACAGACAAGAAGGGTATGTATGCTCCAGCACTTAAAAGGAGCAGGAATAGATGTGGGATTGCATTGCAGCTGCAGCAAAAGGACCCAACCCCTGTGCTGCTATGTGGACCCAGCACATCCTGATGTTCAATTGATAGTGACTTTTGAGTTCCAGCAGCACAGAAGACCATAACTGGGATCAACCAGAAGGCTGACATTTTATTTTATTAACTAGAGGTTTTATTAGCTAGAGGTTAGATTTGAAATGATTCATCTTATTGCTTGTCCTTTTTAATCCCTCTGTCCCTTCCCCCCCCCCCCCCCCCCCCATTCCTCCTCTAATTCAAAAGTGGCTGAGTGATTTTATCTCAAAATGTGCTCCATTTTCCAACAAAACAAAACACCACCTTCCCAAAAAAGCCTATTCATTCCACCACTGAGAACTTGAAATCCCCTGAAAGTGAGGACAGACAGGCACTTAGCTAAAGTGGTATTAACACACTAATAGCATTAATGTAGCACATAATAGAGAAAGGAGTGACTACATTTTACATTGGTATCTCAAATGTAGCACAAAAGAAGTGTGGTTTATTTCTGCATATCTGTAAATTTCAGTTGTAGGAGTCATAATTTTTTAATGTGCCTGTCTTGCTAGCTTCCTCCTTGTGTCCTGCTGTGGGGGAAAGTGCATTAATAAACGATGTTTCAAAGCTGCCTGTGTGAATTTTTTCTTCTGTGTATGATTTTTTTGGAGTTGAGCTGGGAACCTATTCACTGTATTTGTTTAAATGACTGTAGTTAGTCAATTTCCCTCAGTTTGGCTGGCTCACCTTCACACTCCAAGAAGTTTTAAACAGCATTTTTTTTTTCTGATAAGAGAAACTAATTGATTCCTTTGATTTGTTAAAATTATACAGAATTTGCACTGGTGTCCAAGGTTTTTGTATTGTTGC